TTATGAATTTTACTTCATAAATATCCTATATAGTAACTAAAATAACAATTTAATAGTAAAATTTGATTATTTACAATGTTAACATTCATTTTAGTAGAATGGGTAGACTCGCCCCATACGAGAGATTTGTCAGAAGTTCTATAAAAATATACAGTAACAGCGAAAATTGTTAATATTTTCTAAAATCGATTTCACAGCTTTAAAGAGGGATAAATAGCGATTCCGAAACACCTATTAAAAGCCTTTTTTCTTTAATATTTACAAAAGTTTGACCACTTGAAAGTTGACAAACTGAAAAAATGGGTAGACTCGCCCCGGTTTACGGTACCAGTTTTTCATTTTTTAATAATTCCACCTATTGGGGAGCAACTGTGCTAAGATTAATTTCTGTTTTCGAAAGCAAATTTCTTTCAAGTAGATGAAAGTTCAAATATCAAGTTTTGTTTTTTAATTCATACAATTTAAATGAATAAAAATTTTTTTTTTCTTGGGAATAGAATGCTATATTTATTGCAAGCAAAATTGTGTCGTTTATTTGAATTGAAACAGCCAGATACGAAAGTAAAAAAATATTTTTTCTTTGGCTATTATTTGAGGGAAAAAAAATCTTACTACTACTTTTTATTTACATTATGAATCTTGGGACATATTTACTTTTTAGTTTAGATTAAAATAGGCTTACGCTAGAATTTTTCTTGCATACATACTTTCTTGGGAAAACAATTTTTAGTGGTAGTTGCACAGAAATTAAATTATCAGCATTTGTTTTACTTTCGTAACATTTTTTTGAAATTTCCAAGGCCAGCGGCAACGCAGTATTTACTTCACTGTACGATACAAGTTTACGCAACTAAATTTTGAAAATATCCACGCTTTAAAGCAATCACATATACTAAAATTATTTTCCTTTTGTTTGAAGTGATGCAAAACCTCTAATTGTTTTGATAAGACTGAAGTGAAAATGAAATTTTCGATAGTCTTATAAAAAGTTTGTTGCTATGCTATAATGTTTTCAGATTGTGGGCACCTCGGTTAAGACATGCCAACTTTTCACACTTTTTGGTAAAATTTCTTCTAGTGGTAGCTGAATCTGGTTTTTAATGAATTATTCTTTGCTTTACAAATTTGAATTAAAAAAGTTTTCCACACCCTACTGCATTTAAAATATTCGAAAGTTTATGTAAAATGCCACTTTGTTCTAGCTTTCTTGTGGTAAGGCTTTAAACCCTTTGCACTCGAAGCTCTTTCATCAGTTAAAGAAATGGACGCCACCACTTATGTTTTGAAAGATTTTTTTCACAAACTTACGTTATAGTACCCGGAGATCACTGAATTAAGTGGTAACTAAACATTAACGTGAAAAAAATGTCATATTTAGAGTGGTGGGTAATTTACAGGCGACAGTGGTGACTGACAGTCACCTCTCGAGTGCAAAGGGTTAATTGTCTACGATGCAAAGGGTTAATTGTCTACTGCATATTTTTTGGGGTGCTACTGCCTGCTTACCTTAATGCTCAACCAAAACAGTGTTAAAATTCCAGATGAATGGGATAGGGATCGCTTCGCGACCCAGGTGCCCAATTGAATTCAAAACACTAGGACTAGGTTGTTGGGGTGTTCAAATTTGTGAAATTGCTCAGATTTGCGGGTCTAAAGAGGTGAAGGTAGCACGATTCTCAAGTAATGCTTTAACTGAATCTTTTTCTACAAATGCCAAAAATTGGGTTTATTCCATTTATTATGCCAAATGTTCATATGTCCTTGTAGGCTTCTCAATTGTCAGGTGCTTACGAAATTTGGATTTAGGGATTATTTTTGTTCTCTAAATCGAATTTGTAATAGAAAAATTTATATGTTTCTTCAGAAAAAGTGTCAATCAAAATCAAATCAAACTCAAACTCAAATCAAACTCAAAAAGTCAAAATCAAACTATGCATATTCCGCCGTTAACAGGTAATTGTAACAGTTAATTGTGGTTACAATTATCTGTTATATAAAATTCAAGAAATTTCTTTGAGATAATGCTATAACACTTTACAAAGTGAAATTCCGACCAACCGCTCAAAAGTTATATGGTTGACCAGTATTTTTTTGTTTGTCTTTGCTGTTTGTACTCTAATACAATAAGGATTTTTGCAGTGTGGTTTCTACTTTACTATTTTTGAGGTCAATATTTGTATCTTTTACTTGCAATTTCGGAGGTCGGTGAGTTGAGTTGAACATATGTTGGAGCTTCTCAGTATAATAAAGTATTTCGAAAAATTCTCCTAATTGTACAATGCGCAAAATATAAAATGATCTCATTTTGATGTGCTAAGATTCTCTAGGCTATATTTAAGTATGCTAGATTATCTAGGCAAGATTAAGTTTGCTAAATAATTTGCTAAATACTATATTTCTTTTGAATGCTAAATACTATATTTTATTTGCATGTAAATACTATATTTTAAGTAACGAAATCAAACCCAAAAACGTGATATTTCTGGAAAAAAAATTATTTTTCATTCACAACAAATTCCGAATAACATAAATCCGCTTAATTATGCAATAATATTTTGAGGAGTGGGTGATTATTATTATTATTATTTTAAATTATGCTAACCTTAAAGTTATTTCACTACTTATTTAATTAATGTAAACGCAAAAACTGCAGTTAAACTGGATAACTTTCTTTTGATTTAATTTTTGTTTTTATTTATTTGCGAGAGTTTTCTTTTTAATTTGAATCTTGACAATTTGAACATTTAAAAGCTTACATATGTTATTTGAATTTCATTTTCTCTCAGGTCAAAATGTGTTTACTCTGGGATTTTTTTTTTTTTTTTTTTTTTNTTTTTTTTTTTTGGTTTTCTGTCACGTGAGATCATTTAACGGATCATAGATACCTTGGTATAGCCAATTTTAAATTTGCAATCGGTTTCATTCGCCAAGTTAAAGTTTTTTTTAACTAGACATTTTCAGACAATTTTTTTGTCAAAATGAATGCTGCACAAAAAAAAAGAAAAAAAAATACCGACCACCCTGAGTAACTTTTGGTCTAATGATAGAATTTTCACGTTCTAGGACTCATACTTAATGGTTCAAAGAAGTAACCTGAAACATGCTAATTAATTAGTGCAGACAATAATTTAAGTTACGAAATCAGACACGAAAAAGAATTTTAACTACACGACTTTTTTAAAATTCGATTTACCAGGAACTATTCTTCCGATTTCGCTCAAATTTTGTATTTTTCCATGAAAAAGGGCACACTTTAAAATTATCTAAAAAATTGTATACCGTTAAATTCAAATTTTTTTCAACTATTAATAAAGGAAATAATACAAAAATAGTAACTATTTACTAAAATTAATGCTTTACATGGAATTTTTGTTGATAAACGACTTTTACAATTGTGCTCAAAAATGCTTCAATTTTCCTGAAAAACATCTCGTGATATGGCGAAATATGCAAAAAGTAAAATTAACACTACGTTGTCCAAACATTAGATCGGTCTCTTGACCAGACATATTTTCCAGATTACGGCTACCCCTATATTTTGGGGTCAGAAGTTCAAATCCGTAGGAAAGAAAAGGTATGTTTATTCAGAGAAAGTACAGTTTTGTGTCCGATTTCCTAACTTAAAATATCGTTTGCTCCTATTAATTAGCATATTTAAGATCATATCCTCGAACCATTAAGTTTGATTCCTAGAACATGAAGATCATTAGATCAAAAGTTATTCAGTGTGGTCCGTTTTTTTGACACTCTGTACAAGTTTGAAAACGTTATATATCATATAAATATATCACATAAATGTTGTCACAAACTTATAGAAGAATTAAGGTAAATCATTGGAATTAAAATTGCAAAGGAATCCAAGCCCGGAAATGTGCTTCTTCGCGTGCTTCTGAACAGACCATAATAGGAAAGCGTCTATAGACATGTTCGAAGACATTTTAGGGCACGGCTTCCCATGCGATTTTAATCCTGATGATGTGTTTTAACTTCTCTAAAAGTTTGTTGCAACATTTACGCGACTTCTTGTTAAATATCAGGGGTTTCCAACTTACATGAGGCCGGGGGTCGCAATTAAAACCACCAGTCAAATGGCGGACCGCAACTTCATCAAAATTTTATATAGGATTCATTTTATGCTTGAAGGAACATTAAATATTACTATTAGACTTTTATCAAGTTGTACAAAACAAAAATATTGAATTATAAATTAAAATAAGTAGATTTTTATCTGAGAAATAAGTTTTTTTGCACCGTTGGTATGTTAAATTTCACAGAAACGAAGAGTATAGGTTTTATTTAACGAAAGAAAAGTATTTTAATCGAATATAGATTTTTTTTTACGAAAATTGTCCTAAAAAAAAGGACAAATAATATATTTTAGTTGGCGGGCCACAAAAATAGGCTTCGCTGGCCGCCAGTTGTTAACCACTGTTATATATAACGTTTTTAAACTTGAACATTTCTACAAAAACTATCACTTAAAAAATTCTGCATCTTCAGGAGTTAAACTAATTTCAGATTAAGAATCCCCGCTCCCGAATTAAACAAGATTAAGTATTTGTAAAAATGTAACTAACTATTTGTTCCTCAGTGTAATTTGAACGTTTTTATTTTGGATATAAATAAAACAGCTTATTTTACTTTTAACACTAATTGAATTCTATTTCCATTTTGGCCTATAGATTTGTTATCATTTCCAGTTATTTCAACAGTAAATTGTCATTAAAATTATATATATATATATTAAAATTTCTCTTACCTTACATAGTAGTAGTTAAAAACAAACCATGTCAAATGAGTCTAAGTACTGTTCGAAGTGGCAAATACAAATGATAAGAGTTTCAATTTTACATTATAAAAGAGGACAGAGATTATTTAAAATAAAAAGAAACACTACGTATCTTATCTCGGTTCAGATAATGAAATTCATAAAATGTTACAGAATTTATCAAATTTATGCATCTAAGACTTTAAATTTTGACTCTAATTTTAAAATCTAGTATTTTCTTCTTGTTAAATATATATCTTAAAACAGGTGAGTGAATGTTTATCCGAAGTTAATGCTGTAAAATAGTTTAACACCTTTGAGACTTGCAAATACGAGTAAGGTAATTTGAGATGACTGATAAATTCTTATCTCTGCATTCTGATATCGATTCAGGTATGGAAACAGTGAAAAATTTATTGCATAGTATGTGATTTAAATGATGCTTATTTTAACTTTTTGACTCGATTACAAATCAAATAGTTTAAATAGTAATTATAAATTGATTTCGGAAAAAAACCAGATTTGACGTTTTCATGGAAGCTTATCGAAAAAGTATTATAATTTTGAAATTAAAGACATAGACATGCTAATGGCAACCATCTTGAAATAGTTAATATAATGACAGCGAGTGGAAAATGTTTTTTTAAAATCTAAGACTTCAAAGGACGACGCTACATTATGCTTATGTTTAAAAACACAATTGTTATGAATCACCCCAATGTTTGATCAAAAAATTAACATGGTGTAAGTGATAGTCTCCTTCTCAAAAATTTTTTCGGCAAATAGACGAACAATTAAAAAACTAAATGAAAAACTGAAACTGGTTCAACTTAATTATTTGTGTCGGTATTGATTTCATTGCATTAACCAATACCATTTGTTGAGTATTTATTTTTTTAACTTCGTACGAGTGTTTAGCCAGTAAAATAAATTATGGTAAATACAAATACTTTGCATAAGATATAATGTTCATAGCAAAATAATTTAACTACCAATACCTAATGTTTTTTTTTAAGAAATAACTTTATAAAAAATAAGGTTACAAATGTTGTTATGAACTTCCAATATTTTTTGGTTGAGAAAGAAGGGAAGATCACTACTATATTCTGTGATGAAATAGAATTTAAGTCGTATAATTGCTACCACTTAAATTTGTTTTGTTTTTTAATGTTTCTTTCTTCTGTAATAAAGGCGCTGGGAGTGGTGAAAATCTCGGCATTAGAACAATTTGCACACTAGAATAAGTATTTGATTTAAAATAAAAACAAGAAATAAGCGATATTTAAAATCACATCGCTAAAAGCAAGAAAATTATGTACAAGATAATATACAAGAGTAATATAATGGTGATAAGTCGAATCAAATGTATACAATATGACGATGAATGACTGAAGTTTTCACATCATGATAAACGAAATAAAATATATTTATCAATTTAGACTCAGTTTTGAATTTTTCACATAACGATAAACGAAATAAATAGTTTGATCAGTTTAGAATTTTTCGCATAATAATAAAGTAAAGAAAATTATTTTTAAAAGTTATGAATTAACTTTAAAGTTTTCACGCCACGATAAACAAAATAAAAATATTTTAATCTCTAAAGAATCAGTTTTCAATTTTTTTCACCACGATAAAAGAAATAAAATTATTTTCATCAGTTAAGAATCAGTTTTGAAGTTTTCACATCACGATAAACGAAATAAAATATTTTTATCAGTTTTGAAGTTTTCACACCACTATTAGCTAAATAAAAATGTTTCATTAAGCTAAGAATGCTTAAAAATATATATAATTTTCAAAATTTAGATGCCACTTTAACCCCTTCCTTCTCTCTTCCGTGAAAATGACGGGGTGAGGTTTCGCCCTCTATTTCTCGCTCCCGTGATAGTGACAGGCTGGAGTGTTCAGTAGTAACACGCCAATAAGAATAAAACTAATTCATTTCTTTTGCCCGGGAAGCATTTTATTTCTCATTTTACTCAACAGATGGCAGTACTAGGATATTTTTAAGGTAATTGTAGATAGTTTATTTTAGATTAGATATCAGCACTAATCAAATCCGTAATACAAATACAAAAGCTAAAAAATAGGCACTTTTATGACCGTTTTCTTGAAAATTAACCGATCGTTAAGGGGTTAATACAATTTTCAGACCATTCTTGAAACTTGCCATATCAGATCTGAAGAGTTTAATACGATAGTTCATCGGTATCTATTTTCTTAAACATGCTTTTTGCACTATGATTATTTTCTGAAATAAGCTTTATAAGCTATGCCCCAAAAAAAGCCCTCAGCTCCAATTTATAAGATAGTTTTATGAAAAAGTTCACAAATATTTATACACTTTATAATAAAGAAAAAAATAAATGAGAAACATCAGATAGTCTATTTGAGAGATTCCTAATTTGTTTTGGCTGTGGAATCCAAAATGATCAACTCTCTTTTGGACCCGAGACTTAATTTATTCATCAAGTCTCGGAGTTCCATCCCCGGGACTTAATGAATAAATTTCATTAGCAATTGTGATCTTATTAATTAACGAAAGACTATTATTTATTATGAAAATATTAAATGATCTAAATTTTATTTGTTATTTCCAAAAGCTTTAGTGAATGAATGACATTTTCTCGTATCATCATATCGTTTATCATATCAAATCATTATATCAATACTAGTCTTGAAATTAGGTTTCATGTCAGACTATTTAATTTACAGGCCTAGAGAGGCATTTATAGTCTTTTTATGTTTTTTTATAGCATTCATAAACTAAAAAAATTAATAAACTGAAATATCATTTCTACTAAAATGAAAACAATGAGAATAATTCTTCATTGTTGAATTTGCTTATTTTTACTCGTATTCGAAGCGAAGTGCTGAGATAATTTTTCCCAAATGCATACATTTTTTTCATAATTCATTTATTGTATTGTTATAAGAAAAAACAATGTCATGAAATTTATTTCTTCACAAACATTTCAATTGAACAGTTTCATACAAAGTACGCAATCATTAAATAAATAATAAATCACTAATTGGATATAATTTTAATTACTGGTTTCAAATATCGTGACCGGTTAAAAAAATTTTACTTTTCAGAACCCATGTGACCTTTTTATAGGAACATTTGGGTTTCGAAGAACATCATTCAGAAATAGCTGATCTAGTTTCTCCAAAAACAAGATAAATACGAAATATTATTTTTTACAAATTTTCCTTTTCAAGATGAGTTGTATATTAGTGACAGTGACATTAGGCAGTATTTTTCTTGGCTGCGGTAATAAGGGTTAAAGCATATACTTTGTTAAACACTAAACATTTTATTTTTGAACAGAAAGAAGAACAAGTGGCAAGTAGGTAGATAATAATAATAAGATAACAATAAGCAGGTAAATAATTAATAAACAATCGATTATTTTTGCTAACTACAGTACAACGTTAAATAATATTGCTTGCAATTGAGAATTAAATAGAAAGCTGAGTCGACGACGCGAGTAAGTGACATTTTTAGGAGCATTTAAAGAAAGATATAAACTGAACAAGAGAAAAAAAAATAAATTGGTTGAATCACTCAAGGTTTTCTATTTGTAACAGATTCGTTTTTACTTCCCAATTTTAATTCCAACATAAATAAACATTGGTTTTGTGTGCGTGATTGCATAAGTTTATTTTTAAATTAGGTTGTAATTTAAATATGGCACAGATGCATTAGCCCACCTTCTATTAATTCTATAGCAAAATAGTTTGGACACCATATTTTCTTCTCACTCCACTTTGAAAAAGCACTTAAACGTTTCATCTATTCAACTAGGCACTCCAATTATTATTCCACATTGACAGTTGAAAAGAAAAGTCTTTCTTAAAAATCATAAAAATTACCAGTTTGAATTCTAATATCACCTCACTAGTAAAAACATTATATATTTTGAATTGGAGCTTCAACTTTGCGAACCATTTATACATGCATGATAAGAATATTGCATGCATGATAAGAATCATTATGTAAATATGTTTAACAAACATATTTAGACAAAAATTTACTTTTATTTCATTATTTTACTTTTTAGTAGTAAAAAGTCCCTATTTAAAGCTAATATGGTTTATTTGACGGTTTATTACACAATTATTTTTAGGTAAAAATATCAAATTTATTTATTTTCCGGTTCCCATTGCTTCGGAGGCACTGATAATGTAACATAAAGTATGTATATTGTTATATATAGAATACAATTTACCAACATTAGCGTTTGGGAAAGATTAAACTGTTAACAATTTTTTAAAGTAATTTGAAAAATAAGTTTCTAATTTCAGTACAAGTTCAATGCATTCAATAATTTTTTATACCCATAATTCACACCAACTTGCAGTATTGTGTGGTGTAACTCATTTCTTGCATTTAAAACTGCTAATTTATCTTCTCGACTAAGATACTTGAATTTGGATATTATTTTGCCGTCGCCAATCAAGGCACCAATGTAAAATTCCTCAATTAGTTGAAAAAAATCAGAAATGCTGTCTACCGTTGAGTAATCTTTTGGTGATTTACCATCCTTGTTTCGTATGTTATAAATGGCACCGTATTTGAGCAAAGTCTTGACAGTTTCAACATCTGCAGCTGCATGTAATGCAGAATTTCCACTATTTCTTGTTCGAGCATTTATAAAAGCAGTTAATTGTTTAAAGTTAGTTTCTTTAACATGCTTGAGAAGTAACTCGATAATTTCAGTATGACCTTTGGACGCTGCTATATGTAGTGCCGTATTTCCTGTATTGGTTAAAACCATAACATTGAATCCAATCGGCAATGCATACTTTACTAAAGACGTATGTCCTTCCCTTGCAGCAAAATGAAGAAATGTTGTGCCTTCAGAATCAAAAGTTTCAAATTGATACATATTTTGCATAGGTGATGCGCTTGGTTTCGGAGCTTTATACTTTGAGGTTAGCAAATTGAATAAATCTACCCCATCTTTCATTTTTTCTAAGTCTTGCTCCATTTTTAAAACCTTTGAATCATTTTCACCTGAGACAGCTTTTCGTTTCGCAACATATCTTTTAAGTATTTTATAACCCTCACTAAATCTACCACTTTTGATTGACACTATAGCTAATTTCTTCTCAGCCATTAACGCAATCTGATGATTTGGACCTACAACATTTTCCTGAATATTTAAAAAATCTTGCAAGTCATTGAGAGCTTTATCAGATGAACTTTGATAACATAACAAAGACTTTATATTAAAAAGTGACATTAAAGAGTCTGGATGAGAAGGTCCTAGCTCTCTTTTTTTGTATTCGTAAACACACTTACAGCAAGATAGAGCCTCGCCGTACTTACCCAAATTTGTTAAAATATCTGCTCGAGATTGTAAAGCGTGTATAGTCAGAGGGTTTTCTGAACCAAACATTTCCTGAAATTTTTTCAACATAATACTGTTTTGATTCAGTGCATCATCATACCGTTTAAGTTCATTTAAAACTTCTGGCATACTACACAATGTGATCAAAGTCTCAAAGTGATCTAATCCTAATAAAATGCTTTGTTGCAAGTAAACATCTTCCAAAATTTCTATTGCTTCTTCATTTCTATCTAATCTATGAAGAATAGATCCAATATAAAATCGTGTTTTTTGAGTACGAATATTACCTAGTCCAAATATCTCTATCTTCCTCCGAAGCATTTCCTGAAAAATATCAAGTGATTCTTGATATTTCTCCTGTTTATACAATATTATTGCTGAATTTTCTTTTGTTTCTAATGAATCTGGATTATCTGAAACATGAGTTGGAGAAATTTTCTGCAGTGAATTCGTTTGTTCGCTTATATGATCATTAACATTTTCCTTAATTAAAAAATTATTATAAATTTGATTGTAGGTCTCAGAATAAATGAAAAATAGTTGTTTGAGATGATTTATTTTAGGAAAATCATTGTCAATAGCACAAGACAGTAAAGTCCTTCCTCTTTTATTTTTTGTACACATAATCGATTTCAATACATCGGAATACATTATTTTTGCAAGGGTATTTAAAATCTCAATGTTAGCATTTTGCACAGATTTAAAAGCGCTATCGATTAGTTTTAATAGATCGCTGACACTTTCGCTTGATGATAGATCAAGAGGAGTTTTCTTATCAGTTGTTATTGCATCATATATAGCACCATTTTCTAATAGAATTATTACTACCTCAATTCTGCCATAGACTGAAGCATAATGAAGAGGTGTAGCATTCTTTTCACCCAATATATTAGGGTTTGCGTTGTTTTTTACCAAAATTAGAATAATTTCAGCATGACCTTTCCTTGCAGCATAATGCAAAACCGTATTATCTGTTGAATCCTTAGCATTGATGCACGCACCCTCATCAACAAGTGATATGACTTTTGAAATATTATTGCATATAACTGAATGAAAAAGTTCTTTTGTCATCAGAAAGATTCCTTTAATGTCTTTATTTTCAATCTGATACAATCTAATGCAGTCATAAAAAGCACCATAATTAAGCAATACTTTGATTACTTCCTCATGGTCAAACTTTATTGCAAAATGAATTGATCGGAATCCATCGTCACATTCATCATTGACATCAATTCCTTTTTCAATTAGATATTTAACAACTTCTATATGGCCTTCAGCGGATGCGTAATGAAGAAGACTCATATTTGAACATCCACGGTCTGTTAACAGTTTTTCATCGCATTGAATAAAGTATTTAACAATGTGCAAATGTCCCATTTGAGCTGCTGTGTGTATGGGTTTTGAGCCGAAACTTCCAATTACATTTAAATCGGCACCTCCATTTATGAGAAATTTTACTATGTCCAGGTGTCCACATTCAGCAGCTAAATTTAACAAAGTAGAGTCGCCATGGATTTTTTCATTTATGTCCATAATTTTTTTCTGAAAAAATATTTGTGCTGATTCCAAATGACCCAGAAATACAGCCAAATCAACCGGTCTCTGATTTTCGGAATTCAGTTTATTAAAATCTGCTCCTCTTGCCAACAATAATTTAATGATGTCGAAATGTCCACAAAACACTGCTAGATGCAAAGGGCAAAAATTTAGTTTAAAAACGAAGTTTACATCAGCTCCATGATTTAATAAAATGCTTACAATGTCATCGTAACCCCTGTGAATGGCAAAGTATAAGATTTCATTTAAATCATCAGACGTCAAAAGTTTCTTTTTATCTAGAACAAAAGATACCACTCGTTTTAGACCTTTAGTCACGGCGAACCAAAGAAGCGTTTCAGTTTTATCTTCAAATTGTTTCAGGATATCGGTTGATTTGTTTTCAAGAAGAATTATACACATATCCTGACTTCCACGCATAAGAGCTTTATGAAGTGGATCTCCATCATTCACATCAGCTCCATATTTGATTAACAGGCGCGTTGATTCGGTATAATTGTTGGTTACAGCTAAGCATAGAGCTGTTTCGTTTTTAAACGTCTTGGAATCCAAACAACATTTTTTACTAGCTAACAGTATATTTAAGACTTTCAGATGATTATGTCTGACAGCATGATGTAAGGGTGTATATCCTAGTTTGTCGTAAGTATTAATGTCAAATAATTTAGGGATTAAATATTGAACGATGTCATCATAGCCTGAAATACAAGCTAAGTGCAAAGGAGTTCTGCCGAAGATATTCTTACTTTCAATGCTAATTCCACTTTCTACCAGCTTTTTAAAAATGTCAAGCCTACTCGGATTAGAAATTAAGTTGTTGTAGGTCTCTGTAAAATATTCTTCACCCATAGAGTCCCAAAGTAGAAAATTTAAAGTGCACATATGCAATAAAGTTTGTCCTTTATAATCAACTGAATGAATATTCACCTGTTCGGATAGCAATTATAATCGAAATATCTATCGAACCATTTTTTATGCTTTGATGAAGAGGAGTACAGCCATCAGGATCCCTTATGTAAATCGACATCCCATTTTCAATCAAAATATTTATGAGTTCTAAGTTATTATGAGGGATTGCATATTCAAATACTGGAAAACCCCGTCTTTCAAGATCCTCAATACTTGCGCCGTGTTCAATAAAGGATTTCAATACATTTAAATGTCCATTCATAATGGCACGCTGCAAAGGTGAAAGTTTTTCTTTGTTAAAAGCATTGAAATCTGCGCCATGTCTTAATAAAATTTCAGCAGTCGATGACTGTCCATTAAAAGCAGCAAAATGAAGTGGAATGTTGTCAGCTGAATCCTTAGCATTTACGATTGCCCCATTAGAAATCAATAATGTGATAATATCTACATGCCCAGCGTAAGCAGATTTGTGCAATGGTGTGACCCGTGTATCAGATACAGAATTAACATCTGCTCCTTTACTGAGTAAATATTCCACCATGTTCTTGAGTCCCAAGCCAGCAGCAACATGTAATAAGGTCTTTCCTGTTGCATGTCGGATTGAATTTATATCCTGAACATTCTGAAGTAATAAGTCAGCGGCTTTTGCTTTATCATTAATTACAGCTTTGTACAGTGGCGTCTCATGAAACTGACCAACGTTGATTGTAGCTTTGTGATGAAGTAAAATTTCAACGATATCAAAAAACCCATTTTCTGCTGCAATATGAAGAGCTGTTTGATTATAGTTAAATTTTTCATCAACTGATATTTCCAAATCTTCGATAATATAAGAAACTGCATCCTTACATCCTGATGCAGTTGCTATGTGAAGAATATTTGTATCATTAACATCTTTGGTCTTTGGATTTAATCCGCGGTCAATTAAGAACTTTATAATATTAATGTTAGAGGATTTTGAAGCAAAATGTAAAGCTGTTCTCATGTCAGGATCCTTTCCGTAAATATCTGCTCCTTCTTTCATCCAATGTTTCACATCAGCTGAGGAGCCGTTAGACAAAGCACAAAACAGTCTTTCTAGTTTTTCAACAATAGATTTTGCATTCGATAGATTCTTTATGCGTTTTATTGTAAAATTTCCCTTTCGATAAATATCATGCTTGATAATCTTCAAAGCAAATAAAAATAATGACTGAGTGGAATCCATTAAAATGTCCACAACAGCATTTCCATGAGCTAGATAATTCCTTAGATATTTGCCAACTAATAGAGGACCCTCTTCGTTAGATAGCTGAGTCGTAATCAAAAAAAGTTTGGAATGCTCTATGCTAGACAAAATTGATAATGTAAGCATTTCAATTTCCACTTGTATTTTGAAATCATTTTTATAGATGAAAAAGGATTCTGTATTAAATTCAGTAAAATTATGTTCACGTATTATTTTTCTCAAAGATGTAATATCATTTGACAAGATTTCTTGATAAGACCTTGTTGATGAGTTTTTTATTTTTCTGATATTATCAATAGTTATTTTTTTGGTCTTCGTAAAAGTTTTCTTGAGTTCCTGAAGGTGTTTGATTTCATCTCCTTGACATTCAGTAATATAAAATATTTTCAAAACTGCAGAGTAGATATTTGACATATCTTGCTCATCTTCATTATACAAAATATGTTTGAAAATTTCATTAGTTAAATATCCTATTCTTCTTAAGCTTTCTGGAACCATTACAGGGTTTATACCATTTAGCAAGTGCTTGATTTTCTTCTTTTTCTCAGAAATAGTGTAACTATTCAATATACTGCTAGGGATCGATGCACCATATAGCGTGTTGAGATAGAACTCCAACTCAAGTTTGGACTTATTTAGAAAACTCTTTTCAAAATTAATTATACTTGCTATTTCTAAAAATATACTCTCTTCAAAATGTGTTTTCACTTTTATAATTTCACTTAAGTCAGCAATTAATTTTTCCAATACAGTAATTACTGTATTGTCGTTACTTGGTAAAATATCTGTTATATCATTCTCAAAATATACAAGTCGAATCATACGAGAAATGTCTTTATATTCACCAATGTCTTTGCAATTGCAAATTCGCTCCAACAAAGTTCTGAATGTTCGAAACTTTATTTTCTGGAGTACTGAAGTTACAGCATAACTTAAACTTTTCACATCCTTTTGAACAAATGTGTAGAACTCAAGGCCGTAACGTTCTTCAATATCTTTACAAGTTGATAAAGGAAAACCATGCGAAAAAGAGTCCCTCAAAAATTTTAGAATAGTGATTGTTTTGTTTGGTATGAACATCATCAAAAAATCGTTTGTGGCTTGAGAGAGTTTTGGTGATTCAAGTGTATTTTTAAAATTCTCTCCCAAAACTTGCAAGGCTCTAATGATGACAGTTTTTCCGCCATTTTCAAGACTGTTCACTTCAGTCACTACGTCGACATATTTCTTAATAATATTGAGAGATTCATAATCACGAATTATCTCATAATTTTCGAAAAATTCTTCAAAATGCGGATATTTAGAAATTATGTTGCTTACTACATTATTCCGTTTTAATTTTTCAGGAAGCTTACTTAATACATCTTTGCCAATTTTATTAATTTCTGTGGTTTCATTTGCCAGACACTCACAAAAATTACTAAGATATTTCACAAAGTCATTCTCTGTTACAAAGCAATTGATGTAACTTCCTTGATTATTCAGATACCGGATAAAGGAGATTACGTGAAATTCCATTTCTTCCCAAGGAACTCTGTCATATGTAGATTTTAGCCATTTTTTTAAAGTCATTATATTTAGCGCAATCTGCTTCGCTAAAAACATCTGCATGTTCTTAGATTCTCTCGTTTTGTACATTGTTTGAAATAAATCACTGTACTCCAAAATAACTGACAAACTTTCTTGGATATCATCATGAGAATAATCAGTTGAGTCTGTTGGAATAACTTGCTCAAAATAGTTATCAAGTAAAAAACTATGTATATATATCTTCATTTCGGTTGCAACATCAACATTTTTTAACATTAACTCATTTAAGCTTTTTGACAGGAGAAAACACAGTTCTTCAGCATGTGATAAAAAATAATCCAATGGCCACTTCTTCATTAAAACTTCAAGAAGCCTCGTATTTCCTGAGCGCGCAGCATAATAAAAGGCATTGTGACTTTCTTCATCTTTATCGTCAGGCAAAGGAAAAGTTCCATCAACTTTAGTGGAGAGATCACTGATAATCGAAGAATCATCACTGAATATTTGGTTCAAGATTTCTAATCGATTGTGTTTACAAGCCACTATAACAACATTAGTCAATTTAAAGGGATTATCATCAAAATGAAAGCAAGAAATTAAATTGGGGAAAATGTTTACATCACTCAGTAATGCCAAAATACTGGATAACTCTTTAAAACTAACTTCATCATTGATTTCAATCGAAATTTCTATTGCTATCAAAATATTTCTGTAAATATGTCTTTGATTTATTTCATCATGCAGCAGAAATTGGTCGATTGCTGCATTTTCTGATTTCATCAGTAACTTTAATAACTTTTGTACTTCAAAATCGATCTTCAGATTTTTTTCACCCATCATAAGTAGAAGCAACCTATCAAAGAAGAAAGACGATTTACTTAGAGATAATTTTGAAGTTCCCATATAAATATATTATTTATCAGAAAATTTCGAAAATAATAAAAAGGTAAAGTTTTTTAAATAAGTAAGGATTATTGGAATTTATTGGAATTTTCCTTCGCAATTAATATGCAGAAAATTTTGTTTCTTGAAATCAACTTTCGTTTGGTCTTCTTCAAGATTTCTTCAAAAAAAATGCTTTTGCATAATATTTCAAAATGAAAATAAGGTTGCAAATGAATTCATATTGGCAAAAAAATTTTCCCAGATTTTATAAGCATTAACCTTTTTTTACGTGTATTCCTTGTACTAAAATCAATTAATTGTTAAAATTTTTTCGATCATACTGTGTACTGCTTTAGAAAAATGCATACGTTCACTTCAGGTTAAAAATAAACTCCACTCCTGTTGCTATGCATTAAAAAAACGTTGAGTTTAAGTTTTTTTCAACAACAAACATGTCAAACTAGTGAGCTGCGCCCCCTGCTCGCTAACGATTGCCAACCCCCGAAAATTGCTACGCAATCTTATATGATTTGCTTCGCAAACCAAGCTCGCTTCGCTCGCTACTAACATAGATACATTGCAAGTGCACAAAATTCTAAGAATTCAAAACAATCATTCAAATCCATTTAACAACTTTTTTTTTAAAATTACATCTTTTTAGTAAATACTAAGTCATTAAAATAAATTTGAATTCAAATAAAGACTTATTGACTGAGACTCATTTTTCAATGAACAACTAATAACAATAATAAAACAAATAAAATCGCGATATAAATCAAAAATCGTCAAATAAATTCGTAAAAAAAAAGCGCTTTCGACAAAATACTAAAATAGAGATCTATCGACAAAGACTACTCACTTCTGCCTAGCTTAATAGTATGAGATTGCCGCAGCTGATGCTCTCTGGTTATTTCAGTTTCCGTTTTTAAAAGC